AACTTATTGACATAAATTCATGAAATTGTAGTTCAATAAAATTTTGAATGCGAGTCAACAAACATGATGACATGGCCTTTCACCTGTGACCATCTGTAGTGTAACAGATGGTTTATTTCAAAAAAGTTTTGAACAGCTTCTGAAGAATATGAAATATTTTTAGATAATAAAATACTGTCAGTCACTAATATTATGTTGATTATGTGAGTTAATATTTACTACTTGTAAAATATTTGCATCTATTCATAAGTGAATCCTTAAAGAATTTTATATTTTATAATTATTTTTAAAAATGCTTAATTGAAATATTCACTTCTTATGCTTTCTATAATGTTTCTTACTATCCCTCTTTCTGACATGTGACACTACCCATAGGTTGTAAGAAGAGAGAAGAAGGACCTGTACTATCAAGTTCAGTTAATATTTTGTCATCTACATTATCCTTTATCTCCTCCATGTGGTCAACCAAATGGCTTAAAACAGGTGATCAGGAAGTAAGTTTAAAAAAAAACAAAAATTAGATGCAGTGTTTTAATATCTGAAAATACAGGATAATGTAAAACATGCAAATCACCATGATATTTGTAAGTGTTATTTGTGTTTCACTGTCTGTTTCTATTTTCTTAGAGTGATTGGGTAGGATGACATTAACATTGTGAGAATGTATAATAGTGATCATGATGTTTGGGGATCCTGCATGGTTTTTTTATATTTACACTATTATATTTGTTTCTTTTGGAAATATATAAAACACTTTGTCTTTTGTTCAAATAACCTGGATAATTTGAAGCATAAAACCATATAAACTGCCCTGCTGTAACACTGCAAAGGTCACAAAATTTGAGCTACAACTTTGAAAGAGTGACACTATGTGTTGTTATTTCAACAATGTATTTATTGAACAGCTGTAAGACACAAAACCTCGTGATAGTGTGTGACTTTTATATCACCCTGTTTAAATATGATTATAGCAGATTTATGAAAATGTAACCAAAATCATGGTCAAATATCACAGATAGAGTTATTTCAAATACTATTTTTAGTGAATAACTTAATATTTACTTCTTTTTTTTTTTTCTGAAAACTTTGGGTGTTTTTGATTGTAACTTGTTTTTATGTTTCTGTTTTGTTAAGCTTGTAGAACAATGGAATATAGTTGTTGAGTTTCCTTTACTAGTTACATTTATTTATTTTTAACTAAAAAAAAATACATACAAAGACAATATCAGTTTTTATTTATTTTAAGATAGCTATGTATGCACACACACAGAGTCTGACTCTCAGTTACATGGGTTTGAGTTACATTAATTCATGTGGCCAGTGTTTCAACTCTTGCAAGGATATCCTGCTTCACGTTTATGCGGTAGAGTGTTTGTTGATTTGGAGTCTTGAATGAGTGTTATTCTGTAAGACGTGATAATAAAAACTTGGATAAATGAAAATTAAGAATAAACTGACATATCTAAATGAAAACTTTTTAGTTTATTAATGTGACATTTTGAGCAGATGCTCTTTGTCAGGCAATGTAGACTGTGTTACAGTGGTATTAGGCTTGAAAAAACTGAAAAAAAATCATGTCAACATGTTAGTCTCAGCCATGAGAAATGTGCTACTCAACAAATTAAAATAAGAAAGCTTTTAACACCTTTTTCTCTTCCAACTTAATGCTAAGTCCCCTTGTGGTTTAAATGAAAAATTGATTTTTAAATAATTATTAAAGTCCTTCAACCCTTTATTTAACCCCCCCCCCCTCTTTTCATCCTCCACCTTTTCTCTAGATGTGTTTACCTTTAATCTCTCTCTTTAACCTTACCTTTACAAAAATCTTCTCCTTCACCTAATTATTGCCCTGGATTAATATTATATGGTATTAAGGAGGAGGAGCCAGATGATCCTCCATCACATGAGTAATTTGTTCTGTAACTTATGGGTATAAAAGGGTATATTAACTTGTAATTTCATCAAGTTGTAATTTGTGAGTAAAGGTTTTAGTAAAGGTATTAATTCCATTATTTTGTGTTTAAATATCATTTTATTATGAAATATGGTTATCAAATCTTAGTCCCTATCCCCTATTTTCCATAGACTTATTACCTCGAGTTACACGGTTTAAACTTACACAGTGTTTTTAAGGAACATATACCCTACAGAATTCAGGGTTCAACTCTGTGTGTGTATGTGTGTATATATGTTTAAATAGGAGCTCTCCAAGGAAAGGAAAACCTGATATTAACCAAAAAGGAAAATTTCCTAATCTATTTTTCTTCTGGGTAAGAATGGATAGGTGCAAATAGATAGTTCTCTTTTCCCTTCCATACTTAGATATGTTATTGTAAACCTATTATATTTCGAAATTGTCACTAGGCAAGAATTCCACTTCAGACAAAAGAAACTCAATCAGAATCCTGGCTTATGGTTGGTGAGTCACTGACTCAGGGTAACTGGTTCCAGGCATTATTTGGAGAATCCAAGGTCAGTAAAGAAGAAAGTAGCAGAAACAGTAAAAGACAGAAGAAGTCTTCCGTTCATTCTGAGACAACTTCCACACAGCTATATAAGGAACAAGTCATTAATTTGGTGAGGGATGTATTTAAGCAGGAAATAGCTGTGTTGAAACTGGAAGTAATTACTGAACAGGAAACTATCAGACGTAAGGAGGTAATGGTTTCAACAGTTTTATGTGTTTATATATAAGTGCATGTGTTTTGCTATAAGAGGAAATCCAATAGTGAATTATAATGGCCCAGTACGAGTACACGTATATGTAGAAACTACTTTTGGCTGATTAAAATGTTATATGATGTATACAAAGGTTCAAATTTTAAAAAAATTCTCCTGCAGACCATCTGAATAATTTTGGTCTGCACTGAAAGAACAACAACATATGTTAACATAAAATAAACAAGTAACATTTCTTAAAAGTATTCTAACTTTGCATGTAAATGAAAGCAGTTACAGGCACACTTCAGTTCACTCTTTGTTGACAATCAGCCAATCTAGATCCTTCAGTTACCTCTCACTAAATTTGCATGGTTTCTTTGTGCCGAAGGAATTTCTCCTGCCTGATCATCTACATTGTCTTTGGCATCACTTTAAAAGATTTGTTTGAGTTGTATACATACTCTTTTCAGAGAATTAGTACTGGAACCATTTAAGAAAAATATAAGAGTTGCAGTTAAAAAAAAAAGTTAAAGATGGTGACACTGCTGAACTTTCATTAATGTTTTGCAGTTTGCAAAAGTGCTAGCATATTAAGAGTCAGTCCACATTATTACATATTGGTATGCATACTCAGACCACTTAGTTGAAGCCCTGGATATATATTTTAATTTCATCTAAAACAAATTTTAAATGGTACCTGATATAACTTAATTGACATATTACACTGACTTTTCAGTATTCTGTATTATTTTATACACTTCTGTTTGAAATGAAAAGTTTTTACTAGTTTCATCTTATTCATATATTTGCGGAACCTTTTGAATATGTATAACATTCAAAAGAAAAATAATTCCATTAACTGTAGTTCTAAATTATAAAATTCTGGTGCAAGGTGACAGAGATTTAAAAAGATATGTTCCAGAAAGTATGTTTTGCTCATATATATATATTGTGTGTGTGTGTGTGTGTGTGCTGTCGGGTTTTTATCATAAATGTGCAAGTAAAGAGAACTGGTCATAATGTTAAGCTCAGTGTGTTGTGATCTTGTTTATATATATATATATATATATGTTGTTGTTATTATTATTACTATTAACTGCAACTCTCATATTTTTATTAAATGGCTCCAGTACTAAGGCTCTAAAAATAGTAAGCATTCAACTCAAACAAATATTTTAAAATGATGGCAAAGATAATGCGGATGATCAAGCAGGTCATACTATAACTGTTTTCTATAATTTTTTTATTCTACTCTTTGGACCATATTCAGGCTAACTGAACATTCTACAGAATAAATATTGTAAAAAAAAAAATGTAACTATTGGAAGTATAATGTTATGATCTGGATGACAGTGAGATCAAGGTGTTCCATCTGAGTGCATTTGTATGACTAGGTATCTTATGCTCTTAGCTGTGAGGTTCAAGGTCCTCTCATGGTTTACAAAGGCCCCAATGTACTCTTCCATTATTCCCAATTACTTCTATAACTACCTGAAAACAAACCCAGTTAGGACACCTTTCCATGGTACTTCAGCTTGTGTGCCATGTTTTGCCCCTCTACCTTGAGAGGTTGGGTGTGAATACAGTTTTACATATGGCACTTCCAGGATACTGAGGGGAGGCTAGGAACCCCAAATCTGATGCCAGATTTGGGCTCAGTGACTTTGAACGCGTACTTTTAGATCTAATCATGTCCAGGTGATTTTCCAAAAACGTTTTAACCCCTCATGGTTGGAGGAACATGCCATATAGATAAGGGCATCTCCCAAGCCCCCTGCCGAGCTTGGTCTTTCTAGCTCCAAAACTGTGAACAAGCAAATTCACACACAATTCTAATTAATATATTAATATAGGATAATCAGTAAGCTTTAATCCATGAAAGATTGTCATTTCGTGGACAAGAAACTGAAAAACATTAACACAGAGCAAATATGGCATGAAAATTTTGTACTGAGTTAATGGAAATGTTTGAATCTTTGGCAATGTTTTTTTTTAATGTAAAAAAAAAGAGTAGCAGAGTAGCTTTTCTTCTGTACTAAATATTAGTATGCTGTCCACAATACATAATAAGTAAAATGAAACAGTATGAATGTCTTTCTGAAACATCATGCATTATTGCTTTGATTGACGATGTGGTCTTCAAGGCTACCAAAACATACATCTACTCAGAAACTATGTATTGAGTTGAATAAAGTAAGTTTACTTAAACCTGTTTCAACAGAGAAAAGCAACAAGCCATGAATAACCTCCAAAAGCAACAACTAGTTATTCTACAGCCAATGGACAAAGGAAACCTTGTAGTTGTTATGAACAAAATTGACAGAACAACAAAAATTGAAAATCTCCTCAATGATACTTGCCAAGAGTAAATGATCTTTTCCAGAGGTATCTGAACTAAATAATACAACAAGTACATAACCGGTACTCCACTGCCACAATATTTATGGACCAGGTCTGGAAACAAACATTCTGGTTTGTTCAATCATGTTTGGTCAGTGACTTAGATTTTGTTTAGCTCTTTGGTAAAATGATCAGACACAAAAAACAAAGTTATGTAAGAACTTTATATTTCTCCTGTTTTAACAACCCGAAGTCTCTTTACAAATAAAGCATAACATTTTCTCTTTTCCCTTTATCATAAAACAGCCACTCATGTATCAGGAATGCCTTTTTTTTAAGTGGTCAGGTCAACTTGGGACCATCTTCCTACCAGTTAAATTTTAATTTATGGGAGAATGTGTTGAATGTCAGTACAGCCTGGTTTTATTATGCAACAGAAGTTATGATATAGATATGTTGGTTTCATATAGTAGTTGTGTTATCATACCTAGCATGACAAATATCACAATATAATGCATATAAAAGTAATCTTAACTTTGATATCACAAATTCCAAGCAAGTGTATATATATATTTCTTGTATTTTATGTTGTTGTAGATTATTAATATTAGTAAATAAAACAAAAAATATAATTTGTGAAGAACTTCAGATATTTGGTGATGATTGGACTTTTGGATTGTTTTGTTTGGCTGTTGTAATGTGCCACAGATGGCCATTTTCTATTTCCAGACCTGATAGACTACTGAACAATCCATAAGTCTGATATATTTCTATGGCTTATCACAACATGCATTATTGTTAGATGCATTGCTAATTTTCTTTTTAATCTTGGTGGATATTCTATTAACAAAATTAATACTATAATGCTGATGGCAATATACTCAAGTTTTGATAACTTGTTTTTCTACAAGAGTACTTGTTTGTGAAGCTGGAAGACGACACCCTTACAAACAGGACTAATTTTTATCTCTATATCAGTTGAACAACTTGTACAACTAATATATGAAATCAACTTATTTTAGATAATATAGTGAATGACTTAGGGAAATGATTATGTAAAAAAAAAAGAAATTCTGATATCTGTTTGAAATATGTGTCACATATTTGTTCATATAGGCAAACAAGACCTTTACTATCTTTCTAGACCACTTTAATAAGCAGAATATCTGCATTCAAGTTACTGTGGAAATAAAGAGCAATAGCAAGTTTCAAATTTTGATGTATCTACTATTGGGAATGAAATCTATAATAGCTATAACAGTGGATTATATACCAACACTTACCAACATTTACTTGAAGTGCAGAAAGTTGAGTTTGAATATATATATAGATAATTCGGAATATTCAAATCATCAAGTTATGTGATAATCACAGCCAATATAAAGTTTTTGGTATTTTGTAGGTAGTGTGATGCCACCAAAAAGTGATTTTGATAAGGGTATGTAACAACCTTTTCCAACACAAAATATTCATTTACTGAGATCATAAAGATGTGTTCAGATCAGGGATGTAGAATTTCTAAAATGGGGATATTCCTTGTACATAATAGCATTGGAAAACAAAGGAATATAGATCAGTGTAGAGCACCGGTATCATCAAGCAAGAGACCTACAACAAGTACTCTTTACCAGAACAACACAGTAGGAGAAAACCCATTGTTACATGCTAATTAAAATGAAGCCACTATCCTAACCACACAAACCAAAAATGTGCTATATACAGTTACATGTGAATGAAAAAAAAAGATTATATTGAAGTGTAACAACTTCATATGAGACATATAGAGCATTTATTATCATACTCTACTTGATATTAAAGCAAGCCAATACTTTTTATTACAGACCTGAATGTAGCATTTTACCCTCTCTTTATGAGTTAGAAACTATAAATAGAGAGATGACCTCTTATGACATCGTAAAGCAAAAGAAGTTATTCTTGTCAATAAATCATATAGAAGGTTGGGATGTGAAATGAACAGAGACAATGCACTAGACATGAGCTCTATTTTGGATAGAAGATAATTAAGAAGGTTTCATAAAAAAGTATGTTTGAACAATTTGATGAGATAAAAATTCCAAACAGAAGTATTCTATAATAATTTGGTTTTGATAAATTACTAAATGATTCTCTGCTGTGATTAATCTGTTATTGACATTTGCTGACAGCTTATAATATGTATGTGTGTGTGTGTGTGTAATTATTAATATTTTAAATTAGTGACAAGCAGAATTTTTCAGTGTATACCCAGTTTTGTAATTCTGTAATATGCTTTGTCACTGATACCTCCTGTGTTATAAAATTAGTGAATTATTCATCACATCATTGTTTACTTTACCTTATGATACCTTGAGGCCACAAATCATACACCCAGTGATTTCAATTGTTACACCTTTTTTTTAGTCTTTATTCTATAGAATGTTCAGTTGATATGAAGACAGTTCAAAGGATAGACAAAATGCTTGCTGTTAAAGTATGTTTTATAGGTGTAATCAGATTTTATATGTCGTATTAAGATATATCTCCTTTGTCAAATTCTTATAGCATAGAAACATAAAACATGATAAAAGTCTCATAACAGATGCTGATAAAGTAAGAGTGTACAATCATGATATTTTCTTTCTAAACTGTGATATGATGGAGTCTCATCTGATTTTATATTTCTGTTACAAAGTTCTGACATGGTAAGAAAGTCTTATATGGTTTTATGTTTCTTCTATGTCTTGTAATATAGTAGAAACATAAAATCACATAGATTTTACTTACCAGATTTGGAAGGCAACAAAATAAAATTCCTTTATCAAACTATGACACACTAGACACTAGTAGAACCTGCTAAGTTGTGATGCAGTGAGATAATTTTTTCATCATTTTCTTGTGGATTTTCTTTAAATATGAATATTTATGTTTCATGTATCAAAAATATAGCAGGTTGCTTATGCATATATTAGAGTACTTTAATCAAATTTTATGTTGTACTACTTTGTATTTCTGTAACAGGCTGAAGATTTAGCTCATCATACTGCAAAGTTATTTGATCTACATAACCAGATACAAACCATATTGTTGAATTCAAAGGTAGGTGGGGCAAATTTGTAAATATATGATTAAATGTCCCAAAAAATAAATGTATAACCTTTTGTGGTAGATATAAATACATTTTATAGTATGTTACATGTATCAAGAGTTGTACTATGTATTAAAATTTTTCAATACACCATGAAGCGTTCCAATAGCTATAACACCAGATTTACTATGCATGTCTCAAATCAAGATTTGTACTAAAATTGCTAATTTTTTAAACAGTGTCAGTATAGTATAGTATATTCATGATACTGAAAGAACACATAGGTTCAAGAAGTCTTAATATAAAATGATAAAAACCCTGTAACCCAGTATAGTATAGATAACCATGTTGTAAAATAAATGTTTGCAATCAATATTCATGAGAAGAAAAATCTGGGGATATTAGTGACCTCTCTCTGATCTGGAAAGGATTAAGCATCTAATTATGTACTGAACTGTGTTTCAACCACTTCTTATGAATAAGTAAGCTCTCTCTTATGCTGTGGCTCCGTGCATTATTGGCCTTAAATAGTTTTAAAATCATTTGATTGGATGACCGTATTACAGTTACCTATAAAAAATGCTCCAATACTCTTGATCTGTTAGGTGGTAATTGCACACATCTTTTGTACATGTCTACAGTCATCTGATGGGGATCTAATATAACCTTGGTTATAACAAGGATTTTGTGTAAATTGATGTAAACTGCATTTGATGACTTCATTGGTGACATTTCTGTCTTGTATCTAAAATAATTCTGCAGATGGTATCCTGGCTTAAAAATACATTGTTACAGTATGTGTGGGAAAGTTATATTGAAGTAGGGTACAGAGATGTTTTTTTATTATAGAAAAGCATGTTTACCAGTGTAAGGCTAAACTGTAGATAATGAATGAATGGGCAACAACTGCCTGGTTCAGAATGACACTTAAGGACATTTGTGCCTTTTGAAATGTCATCCTTTCCAGCTAAACTGCTTTTGAAGTTTAGTCTTCCAAGACTTTCTTTTCAAGTGTCACTCTGAACTAGACAGTTGCTGTTCATTTGAACTTTGTTCTCCGTGAAGAAACCACCTAAATAATCTGTAAAATAATAGATATTGAATATTTAGGAACTTATACATTGGTGGTTTTATGAAGTTTTTGTTTGTTAACATAGTTACAGATTATTCTATACACCATATAGATATTAAAATTTTCTTACATAAGTATACCTTGAACTATAAAATTCTTTGTAAAAATTCATGCATCCATAAGGTTGTATGTGCATGATGATCCAAGACCTTGATTAATTATTCCTTGAACAATAGTGGTATATATATGGCTTGCAGGGTTTAAATACAAGTCAGTAAATGTTTTGTTATGGGGAACTGTACATTAGAAGTTACCATAACATTTCTGGACCAATCTCTCTAGAAAAACAAGTTTATGATTTTTATTATGTTTTATTGTGAATCAAATAATATTAAGCTTGCTATTTAGATACTTCATGAATTGATTATCCTGATCAAGAGCCTTAAATATGATAAAATCTTGTCTATGTACTTTCTTCCGATCTCATTTGCTTGCAATTTTGGGATCAGGAAGTTTCAGCTTTCCTTCCAAAAGGATGCCTTCTTTCTTGCATTCAGGCTTGAGTAGATTCATCCATTCAAAACTTTCATGTTATATAAATACTGCTGTGGTGTTATGAACATTTTGGCTGATCTTTATACAGACTTGATCCTTTGTTTTTTGAGTGGATTTTCAAACCTCATCCTATACACGTACCATCCACTCTGCCTTCTTTCTTGTATCCTAGCCAAGATCATTTACTGTAAGTGCCAGGTTCTTCTCATTGCTCCACTTTTACTTTCTCAATCATGATTTCCTCTGTTGTTGAACTGGTAAGTTAAATCAACAATCATGGCAGTGCTTGTTCTTGTGGCCTCTGTTTTGCTGCTGTTTCTGTACTTCTTTGGCTTCATTTTCAACCTTTTTACCTTCAATCATGTCATGTTCTTGGTGTTATGAACACTTTAGCTGATTCTTTAAGAAGACTTGACCCTTTGGTTTTTCAGTGGAGTTGCAAACCTTGTTCTTTATGCATACCAACAACTCCACCTTCTTTCTCGCATCCATGTTTGATTGGATTCATCCATTCAAAACTTTCACATTACACATACCTTTTCAATTATCCTATACAAAATTTCTCCCTCGGTATTGGTGCGTTATAAGAGGGTGATGCCTTAAAGAAGTTGACAGAGGATGCCGTCTGGTGGCTGATGATGCTTTGGTGCAGGTACCTTTCCTACCTCCACACACATGTGATTACATAGCATTTGAGACGTCAGAGATGATACAACTGTTCTCCATATGATGTTTCATACCCCAACTAGGATGAGGAATACTTTACTCCTTTATATCTACCTTTCTTAACCTATTTGGTGTTCCACTTGACCCGTCCTCGAGTTGTAAAGCCCATAGTAAGGTCTGCCTGAGTCTTTTCTACTCTCCCTGGGTACCCACTAACTGGGTCAGCTTTGTGACTTAGCTGGTCTTCTTGGATGTGAATGTAGAGAGCCTTAGGCTCTGGAGTGTGTTCACTCATTAGCTATTACTGGTCTAATCCTCCAGAAATCTTCCTTTACAGGTACAAAAATAATAAATTGCTGTCTGACCCTGACTAAATGTTATGCCACCACCTGTGACCATACCTTAAAATATGATGGTTCCACAGGTAAATACATATAGCTCCACTTCCCTTTTTTATTTATTTAAAGGGTATTGAAGGCAAGGAGAAGAATGTTGAGAAGAATGGATTTTCTGAGTTTCCTCTTTTAGTCTATTGTTTTATGAGGTTAGTCTACTCCACTCATTTTCCCTTGAATCCACTCAATTGAATCTACTGTGATTCTGGATTCCTGTCAACTTTACTTGATCACACTTTCATTTTTGGTCTACGTTGTTATTGCCTAGGAACCCAAATGTTGATGATTCAGTAACTCTTATGACTCTTTTCATTTTCCCCCTCCATCTTGGTATGGGTATTCTTGCTTTTCATATTTCAGAAGTAAGTCTGCCTGTCTTAGATTTTATATTTTTGGAGTTTAAATGATTTTCAATCAAGTAATTACTTCTTAAATACATTCCTACAGACACACATCCAGGAGATATGTGGTTTTTATCACAACTATAACTACAAAATCTGGATTATGATTGGAAAACAGAACTTGTATACATTCTCCTGATGCAAGTTCAATAACTCACATAGAAGGTGTATCTAAGACTTTATTCATTTAGTTGTTGACAACATGAGAGCAACTCAACAAAGGGAAAAGCTCTTTATATTCTAAGTACCTGTTTCAAATTCATTTTAATTCTAAAAATGTCCAAGTGAATGTTTTATTAAAAAGACAGTGAATAAGAAAAAGGCACCTGAATTGCATGCTTTCTACGGGAATATTTCCTATAACATGGGTGAAGTTTAATGTAAAATTATTGAATATTAAATAAAAATTTTAGGTTCCCCTAGTAGGTATTGTGGGGTTCCTGTAGTTGTGGTAAGTGATTAGAAGGTTCAATAGCAAATTAAGCCTACACTAAGTCTTGACAAGTGAAATAGCTTGTGAATCATGATAAAGAACCTTTTAAATACCCGAGTTCATTGTTAAGAGTTGCTAGTACATTTTATGAAGTTTGCAGATGAAGTAATTTTCCTCAAATGTGTTAAAACCTGGGTATAAATGCTTAATAAAGGTCCTTAAAAGAAGACTGCTTGATCCTGAAAAGGACCAGGAATTTTCTCCTTCTTAAAGTGTGGGAACTATGTTTAAGTTATTGGGTTTGGTTCTTAAAATTAAAACTTAAATATGAATATAAGTTAATTTGTTAAATAATAAGAAAGGACAATTTTAAGCACTAAGACAAAATTTTAAGATGAATTTGAAATAATTATCCCTATTTATACCAACTGAATTAATTCAAATGTATTGCCTAATGTTTTTAATGTTAAAGTTTGTATTCATCAGATTTATTAACAGTGCTATAAGTTTCAAAAACAAGTTAAATGGTTTTCTATTGACATAATTTAATGAAAGTGTAAACTAAGATGTTTAATGTATACTTTGTAATATGTGGTTATTACTTATCAGTCTTTTTGGTGCTAATATTATTACAAGTTATTACAGTAAGTCTAAATTATTTTAATTTGAGGAAGCAGAAATAAATCGTGATGTTCTAAAAATAAGTTACGTTTTCATTTTTTGTATGTGTGAAATAAATGTTTTGCCAAATTGTTTTTAATTTTAAAGTTTCTATACCTTAGTTTTATCAATCCAGACAGTACTACAAGATTCATAAACACCTGCTATATATTGAAATAAGATTAAAATTCTTTTACTTGCCAACCTACAGAAGCTTTTTATTCATTTAAACAGTAGATCACTAGTTTAGGGTTTACAAAAAACTTAAAAATTTTATAAACACACACAATGAGATTCTGGCATAATCTAGGAAAAAATAGGAAGATACTTTTATACCCTGGATGAACTTGTACTGTAATTTTTGAATATTAAAGTTACATATTCAGTGAAACTGAAAGGGAAGTTTTATCTCATGGTTTGAAATTTATCATACCTAAAAAGTTAAAATTTGAAGATAATCTTATAAATTTTCAGCTGTTTTTATAGCAACTCTCAAACAGCCTGTGTGGTTGAAATCAGAAGAGTAATATTAAAATTTCAGTAAGTGTAAGAACTTTTAATTGGTTTTAGTAATTATAATTCAGAATTTAAACAAAGAATAAATGTTAGCCTGAATAAAACATTTAGCAGAACTAGTAATGTTGTTATAACTAAATCTGATAAAAGGAATATATTAATGAAATATGATTTATTAATTCAGCCACAATATTTCAAAATTAACCATTATGATTTTAGTTTCAAATAATATAATTTACAATGATGCATTATCAGATTTTTTTTAAAGATTATACAAATAATGAATACTCTATGAAGGATAGTCTTGAATTCCATATAAAAGAGGAAATTTAAAATGGGAAATTTACTATTATAATTTTGTTTGTTATTTATATACAAATATCCTTATGGAAGCAATGATACAGGTAAGTGTTGAATTAATTTACAACAGTATGGTGTCCAGCCTTCCTATGTATGTTAATTTCAAAATTTGATTAAAAAATAATAATTCTGTTTCAACAATTTTTAACTCAAAATTTTTTATGTAACATTTTGTGTAATTAGCAAATAAGAATAAATATTTTGACTTCCACTTCCGTGCAGCCGAGCAATCTCATTTGTAAACAATATATTCATAGAATCATCTTTAGATTTTTTTATGCGTGTCCCAGAATACAGGTTTATATTTGCTAATAAACTAACATTCCTTGAAAATACAATCATTCGTATCTAGCTTTACACATGATTTTTATCTGGCATTTGCAGTTTTGTTACTAAGCCCTTTATTATCAACTTTTTATGATGCATAGTGTATGGGTCTAAACAGTTATGTATGAAGCTCAGCTTTGAAAATAGTTAAAGCCAACAAGTAAATACAGTTGGATAGAATTGGTTATAATTTATCTCTATCAATATAGAGTAAATAAAGTGGATTAGAAAATAGTTCTTGTTTTTTAAGATATTGGCTAGCCAGAACTACTGTTCAGGTGATGAAAGGAAGCTAATGGGAAGTTCAGAACATTTAAGAACAAACAATAGATATGGAATTTTTTTTTTATAGTTTCTTTAAACATTAATTTTTTTTCCAGAAATTCTGTGTTATTATGTATTTTAAAGCTACACACATTTTTTGAATGTCAGTATAATAGCAAAGCTTGGTTAGATTTAGGGAGCATGGAGGGCGAAAGCAAATATTTTAATGGCTTAAATCCCAATTTTTGAAAATTATTGTTAGGTTTGTCATCTTTAAACAATGTGCAGATAATGTATTATTTATTGGAATGAAACTGAATTTCTTAGAAATATTAAATGAAATTATACATACATGTTTTTAATGTAAGCAGATATTATTTAGTAAATTTTCACTGAATTTCATACAATCTGGTTAAGTGTTTCTAATAAGAGAAGGAAACTATCAAAGGATGTCAGTGACACTCCTCCAATCTGGAAAGGATTAAATTAAGTATGTATTCCAATATCTGATGTTATTTTTAAAATTAATCAGTTTTACTAGTAAAGAATACATTGTTTTGTTTAATGATAATTTGTATGATGAGATTGGTGTGTGTATAAGTTCTAGATTGGCTGCTTCTTCAGCTAATTTTTTCTATAGTACAGAAGGTATGTAGATAACTCTTATGATCAGTAGTGTTTCTGATCTTATTCATCAATTTCTGAAGTAACTAAATAGTAAGCATAACGGTATTTGATTCACTTCAGAACATCAGAAAAGTCACACACTTGCTTTTTTAGACGCATTAGCATATAATTATGATGGTATCTTCAGTTGTGAAGGTTATGATAAGAAAACATTTATTGGCTTATTTTTCATATTTGCAAGCTATATACCAACATTGTTCAAGGAAAATGTAATTAAGGTCTTGATTAATTATGCATATTAAGTCTCAACACTCACAAATTTGATGACATCAAGGAATTGTAGTATTTCCATTGCACATTTTTCTTCATTGTAAATAGGGGATAGAAAAAAAAAGGTACCATCTTGTACCACACAATTCTTATGTAAGAATGTTTTTTAACGAAACGTCATCACATCACCAGTGTTTGAAGTTTTTAGATGTTCAGTCTATCTATTATTTTGTTATATACAATTTATTAAATTGTTTATAAAAGAGGGCTTAGTTATTTATAAGAATATGCTACAACTTAACCAGTTCAGTTTAGCATATGCCATATTGCTTGCTTGTAAAACTTGACTAAGAGTGAACTACAGAGGGTTGAGTACTTTATACGAGTACTATTTAAAATATGTAAATCACCAAGGCATGTGACAGCCACAACTGATATGAAGACATGGTGAAATGGCACTGTGATGTAGAGTAGATATTAGTTATTCATACAGACAAACACTTATTAAAAGTAATCTATTATCTATTTCCGCTATATGATTATAAGTAGTTGGTTCACAATGTAGTAGTTTATAGAGAAAAACAGTCAAAAATGATCTGTTATTAACATTTAAATGATTAAAAGTGGTCTACATTTGAGCAGATAGTTGTTTGTACAAGTAACTTTGACTAAGAATGAACTATTAGTAGTGGGTGATTTATCATTAAAACCAGGATATGGTAGGAACAGTGTTTTGTACAAACAAGCCTGGCTGAGATTAACTTACTTACAGTATGTGCTATGTGAGTATTAACAGTATGTAGGGTTGTTAGTAGTGAAAACATCATGTAACTAAGAATCATATATTATCAACATCTGTTTATATAATTTATTAAGCCTGTAGTAGTAGTTTATACAAACAAATTTAAATAAGGGAGAAGAATTTTTAGTATATGCTGTTATATGATAAGAGACAGTGTACAGCTTAGTAGTAGTTTTTACAAATAACCTTGACTGAGAATGAACTTTCATCAACATCCTCTGTATGATTAGAATTGGGCTAGATTAGAGGGTAATTGTTGTTTTCAAAGTTAAACCTTAAAGTACTTTGCTATCAACATTATTCTGTTTTTCATTATTTGAGATTTCTATTTGCACATTTTGTGATTGTAAACTGTTAAGTTTGTATATGGATATGTGTGTGTGTGTTTTACATTGGCATTGGGATCTTGTATGATAGATGCTATGACCACAGACATTATCTATTATGACTTAAGGATGACAATGAGGACTGGTAATGGAAGAATAATTTTGAATTTTGGTCTCTTTATAATGTTTTGTATATATATATTATTATATATATATATAATTGTACAGAAATTGTTTTTGGTCTTTTAGTATTTACGTGAAGAACTGAGTGACGTCAAGGAAAAGTTGGAAGCTAAAGGAAAGAGGTGATTGTGTTTTATTTGATATTTGGAGGTCTTCTAATTTCAGTTTTAAAGTTTTCATGCAGTAATTCAGCTGTTCCTGGTGGCTCAGTGGTAGGTCTGAGGGCTTATAACACAAAAGAACTGATTTTGATATCCATGGTGGCAGGGGTTAAATTCTCAAAAAAAAAAGTAGATGCACTCAGCTGGGGGAAGTGGACCTGTTTTTGAAAAAGAAAAAATATAATCGTGTAAACAATAAAAAAAAAAAAAGACAAAGCAGCTCAAATAAGTCCCAGTACTAGTTCCACCTTAAAAAATAAGTTCTGATACTCAGCACCACTGAGTACTGACAGAATTTTACCCCTGCATGGTGGGCAGAGCACAAATAGCCCACTGTATAATTTTGTGCTTAAAAACAAACAATTTCACTCTATAACTTGCATGTAAGAATCTTTAATTTTAAAAAGTATATTTTACTCTAATTGCAATTAATAGCTGTATCTTATATAGAGCACAATAAGTATAATGGTAACTATTAAATGTAATGACTATATCATTTAAAAATTACACATTTTAATATTAATAATTTGAACTTCACCAAGAGTGTTCAAAAAACAATAAATGAATTGATGACTTTAAAGTGTTTTTTTCAGTTTTCAGCCATGAGTTTTAAGTTTTTGCCCTAGATAAAATTCTGTTAAAACTAATCTTGATTTAATCCCTTTTTTGATAGTTTAACTGTATGTAAAAACATAACTTTTGATTTCAAAACAAAATAGATCACTCTTCAGGATATAAATTTACTGAGATAAAAAATATATGAATTTAATTTAGATTATTTATGCTTAGTTGAAAAATGGTATTTGTATGTTTCTGTTATAGATTCTCAGTAAAGTTATATCCTGAATAGCGACCTGTTAAGTCATGAAACTGATTGAAGAAATTAATAAAGGAGAGGAAAATAGAATAGTCCTGATATTCCAGCATTTTTTATATATGTGTGTGTGTGTAGTTTTGTCTATAAAGAAAACTGCATCATGAAATGGTTATTCTTGATTTGAAGAGAAAATGCTTGTAGAAAGTATTTTGTGTTTAAAGTTAATGTTCTGTACCATCCAAAGATTACAAATATTTTGTACTTTAAGGCTTCCATTTTAAGTTACTCCTAAAAATCCCAGCTCGGCATTAACGGCAGCAGAAGTTTCTTGTTTCACAGAATTTAAAATTATGGAATGAAATGGTAAATTAACTTATTTTACTGAATTTTATAAACAGTGGTATTGCAAAATCTTATTGATTTAACGTTGGCTGTTATTTGCTTATGATGATAATTTTCTCTATGTGAAGGGACCATTCATTCACACTCAAAGTTCTTTGTAGTCTAGCAGTTCTCTCTGCTGCCCTCTGTTCTTGTAAAAACATTCTGGGAAGAGTTTTGACTGTGCTGTTTTACTGAGATGGATAGGAGACAGATTTGATTGTGAATAATTTAATGAATTTTGATTTGTTATTAATTAACAATCAATGATGTTTTCAGCTTCAGTGAATTATTGTTTCTTGTTAAGAAGTTCTCAATATAAAGCTGACATTTAAACACTTGGCATTTATTCTTGAAAATAACTAATCTTTAGAATTTATTTTTTCATAGTTTAAAAACCACACAATCTTAAATATGGCAACACAACTAAGCATTTAATAGTTTGGGCACAGTACATTGTTTCATCTGGGAGCTTTTATTTTTGTTCAGATATCATTGGATCACTATGTTGATAACATTAATTGGATATATTCTACTGTAACACTTCTTTTAGTTGTTCTAAATGAAAAACATTAAATGTAAGTTATAATTGGTTTGCTTAATGCACTAAAACCTGTAGATGATTGACATAGGATTGTACAGGGTGTGTCAAAAAATGCAATTGAAGGTTATGCTAATAGTTTTTCAACTATTTACACATAAATCAGTTAAGAAAAAGCTTTTCTGACTAGTCACGGATATGCAAGATGTGTTTGATGTGATGGCCTTATCTTCTCAGGCAGGAATTGATTCTCACTGCAAGATTCTGGATGACATTTTGATAGGTTTCTGCTGGTATTCAATGTAAGAAGGTTTGGATAACTCCCTTCAGTTCTGAATTGTTCATGGATTGTCCTTGTAGGCATTATCTTTGCAGTAACCCCATGGGAAGAAGTTGAGTTTCAACATTGAAGTAATGATGATAGAGTGATTCTGTCTTTTATTTTAACATTTTGTGGCCATGTAGAATTTCACTATCCTTATTTGTTGTTCAGTTGTGAATATCATACTTGAAATGGGTGCTTGTAGTTCACAGAATTAAATTCAACAGGTCCATAGAGTACACTCTGAAAATATAAAAAATATAATATCAGTGACAAAACAATTATTAACAAAATACTTGATTGAATTTTTTTTTATCATACTAGGTATGAATACAAAACTGTATGTGCACATAAACTGTTTTGTGCAGGTAGGTTTTTGGTATTAACTGTTTCTTAATTTACTATTCTGTGAAGTAACACAAGTATTTAGTATCAGCAAATTTCAATTTTTTTCTTTTACATGAAAATAACAACTACTTTGACATTAAGTTATACATTGAACAAACTGTGTTATGACTATATTGGTGTTTTCTAAGTTGTTAACCTGCATTGATTTGTAGATATATATTATTATAACTTTTAACTGAATGAATGACATCAGTACGATGTGCTTTATCTTTAATTATTTTCTTAGTTTGTACTAATGGATCTACAAGTGTTTTATGTGCCTAAATTTCATATTTTAATTGTAAATGTAGAAATTGTCTCTGAGTGGTATTATAAATGATTATTTTGTATGCAACCTAACACTTTAAATTCATGAAACTTGGGAAACATTATATATGTTGTACAAAGATTGGAAATTCACAAGGTAGCCAATTTCTGTGAAATTTTGAACATAATTTTTCAACTTCACAAAAATGTTTTAGAACGATGTTTGAACTTTTGTTTAAAAGTTGTGTTTTTGGTTTCTCTATATATCTTAGCATTGTAAATAACTCCATTACTAGTGATCAATTGCATTAACCCTTTTCAGGCTGGTGAGCACTTTTTAGATGTTGAGTGCACACTCGCATTATAAATTTGAAAATTTAAATAATAACTTGAAGTTTATTTCAATAATTCTTTTACTCAAAAATATTTTATAATTTATATTTTGTCATTTTGTAACACTTATATAATGTAATTTCTAAAGAAAAAAACATGTTCAAACCTATTTTTCTATACAACTCCAGAGAGTCTCATCCATGGACAATTCACTTATTGAATCTAAGTTTCAAATGGACAGCAACTGCCTGTTGTAGAAATACCTTCGAAACATCGTCCTCTACATTTGTAGGTTTCTTCAACAGGCAGTTTCTGTCCATTTGAAACTTAGATTCATTATGAATACTCTGCCTAAACAACCTAGCAAAGAATGCACTTATTGATTTTATACACTTTTTTTGCCCATATCACACTATAGGTCTGTACTTGCTAAAATACTACCATCCCATGGGTATTACCAGTGTTTGGATTTTACCTGATTTTTCTCTGTCTCTGAATTTCATTTGTACAGCTTTTCACTTCCTCAACCTTTTATGACCTCAGCAGGTAATTGAACAAACACTAATGAAATTCAGATTTCAAGATAGCTGTCGATATAATTTAAAAACAATTGTATAGAGCACATTATGAAATACTTACACCAGTATAGGATGAATAAAATGGTTTGAGAAGTCATTTATGGTTTTGTGGAAAAATGACAAGACCAAGCTTGTATAGAGAAGAACAATGGACTGTTCTTGGAATTTTAGATGAATTGGAAACAAACCACAGATCTGGGAATATTTTATACTTTATTTATATTTTTTTTTTTGTTCATGAAAATATTCTTCTATGATAAGACGTCAGGTATGTCTTACTAGGTTAAAATAATACTGTAGCAATGGCAAAATATTAAAGACTCGGGTCCTTATTTATTGAATATTATTGTTAAATTTATTGTATTCAAACAATGTAGATAAGTAAAATAACTTGTAATTTACTAAAATTAAACTATGGTTATCAGAAATTGATCTTGAATAAGAAAATTCTCAGCAGAAATATTGTTTGATAGCCTGACCTGAAAATATCTTCACAGGTGTGGCTGTAGGTCACTGATAAATCTTTGTCAGTTTTTGCAGTGTTTTATCATTTACAGAAGTCTCAAAAACAATCTAATGAATAGCCATCATGCTGAAACTAATGGCATGTATAAGTACAACTAAAATTTTAAGACAAAAGGAATTATTTTAATGTTCTTTTTAAAAAGCGTATTTCAACTAAATTTTGGAAATTTCACAATGTAAAGAATTAGAGAAAAGTAAATCAAATTATATGATTTTTTATGCCTATGTAGTAAGATTTTACTCAGTTTTATGTAATCTAAGTATTTCTACTGTGAGAAGAAAAAAATCCTGGGATGTTCATGACATACACACACCCTATTCAGAAATGGTTAGTAGCAGTCGTGTTCAAGTTAAATTTTGAAGGTTATATTAAAAAGGTAGGGTTTGATATTTTGGTATATGCCCATTCAACTCACTCAGTGCCTGAAGGAACTCTCAGAATAGACTAAGTTAAAAAATTACAGAGCAAAAATCTTTTATGCATCTTTATTACTATGTGCAAACATACCCCAATAAACATTGTTATACATTTTAAACCCTAATTAATTTATATCAACTTCAAAAATGTTATTTGGTAAAAAATTAATTACCTTGTTAATTCACAAATTTGTGTAAATTACATAGTGTTTCCAATTTCAAGTGTTGGATAATGTCTTTTGAACAATCATGAAAATCAAAGAAATTTTAGTATGATAGTTAAAAATATCAAATTTGGGCACATGAAACTCTTCTAGACTTGTTAGTAAAAGCTAAGCAAATGCTTAAAGACAATGGCAAATGCTTAAAGACAATGTATATACATTTTATTTCTGTAACTTATGCAAATATTAAATAAAAGCCATAGATGTACAAATAAGAACATTATATGAAAAGAGAAGTGCTAAAGTTGAATATTTTACTTACTAGTCTTATCAACTCGAATATTTGAATAAAACAAATGGCCCCCAAGTGAAACACTGTACTTTGACCAAACTAATTAGACCACATTCAACTTACTAGTTATCCTCAAGTACAATTAGTGTTTAAAACTCAGTTTCATGTTGAGAATTTTTATTCACAATGAAAGATAACTTATGAAAGCTACAAACTTTATGAGTGCTTTGTGATTATTAATGTGTCAAATGTAATTTGTATTACATGGGTAATATAAAACACCATTTCTCTGATGAAATATACGAGCATAGTGGAAATGTTCCTCAAAATCATTTCTACATTTTCAATATACAGGCAATGTGGAGAACTAGTGTAGTAATCTCACTGCAAGAGCTTCAGCTGAATCATTAAACAGTAACAGCTGAGGTTTAATCAGTAGGTCTTTGTGATACCACAGTAAGTAATGCGCTAAACATATTTTCTTAATATTTTTTCATCTACATTATAAGTAAAGTATAATCTTAATGAATGATAACTGCCTATGTACACAGTGAAATAGGAGATGAGCATGTCCATCAGTTGCCCCTTGTTAGTCTGTCACAAATAGACAACAAGTTTGAAGCCTTGGAGAAACAGGTCATGGGAATAAAAGATCTACTGTATGGAATGAGAAATTGCTGTCACAACCAGAGTGAATATTTGAAGACTGTTGAGAATCAACTGGCTTCTATACTACTACAGGTAAAGTTGTTTTGTAGATCAGCTTTCTTTTTTCTTTTTTTGCTCCCTCAAATTAATAAGTTGTTTTCTACATTTCACTACTGTAGTGTCTACATATTTCACCATATTGTATGATTTTTAATTTTTGCTTGTTACAACAATCAGTGGAAAGAACAGACCAAAAAGAAAGGGTAAAATCACTCATTTTTTTATGTAAAATACATAAAGAACCTCAGGAGTAATTATTAGGACTAATATTATTAAATTATATTTTTAGCAACATTTTTCATTTGTTATTAGCAACCCTATAACCAAGAAATTTATGAATGTATAAGCAAATTGATGCAAAAATAGTGTAGAAAAATGTTCCAAAACCTGTGTGGTGTAATTCTAGGGTATAGATTCTAACAGTGTGAGCATCATAATGTGGTATGTAGTCATACCATGTGTTCCCTACCCCTTTAGTTAATAAATATAATTTCTTTAAAATTTCTGTTTTACATACTGTGTGTTCGTAATATAGAATGTTGGTTAAGAGAGCCACTAAGTTCCTCTTGCCCTAGTTACTGACAGAACTAGGTCAGTTTACTAGAGTAGCACATGTACTTTCTTGTGGAAAAGATTGATGTTATATTGAATATACTGTATAGAAATTGAAAGTGACCTTGGATACAATATTCATTGTTTTTGAAATGAGAGTGACCATCAGTCATGTGGAGTAATGTGTCCATCCTGAGAACAGTGGCATTGTTGTTATTAGTATGTAATGTCATGATTTCCTAGTCTGGATCAATTGAATGGAACTTAAGATTCAAGATTTTAACTACTGTCACGTATCTCACCAGTAAAGGCACAACACTTTACACATGTCTTTAACTTTGATTGTGTTTGAGTATGAAATAAAGATTGTTTTGCTGTCTCCACTCTTTTTCTTTGCTCAGTTGAGGTCAGCAGAGCCAGGTTAAGATTTAGTGGGGCCCTAGGCCCAGGTAGTATTTAGGAACAATAATGATGATAATAACTCACTCTTTCCGCTATTCTGCTAGTTTTATGAACCATAATTTTTTAACTTGGGTGGCTGGTAGGGCCCAGGCCTAGGTAGCCTATGCGTTAATCTGGTACTGGAGGTCAGAGAAAGATTTCTGCTGTGCAATAAATTTTCTGGTAAGCATTCTGTTCTTCTGTGGTTACAACCCAGTTATTCAACAGGAAATCAGTGAACCTGAAAATAACACAATGGCTTTCACTATGTAACTAGTTCAGTGCCTGTTAAAAGATGGAGAACAGAACAATATTTTCTAATTAGTGTACAGTGTTAACTGATGTATGGTGGGATAAAACAGTGTTGATACTTGGGCATTACAATGTGAATTAAATTTGAGAGACAGAACACCATCACTCGGTACTGAAATATTATATCATTTATTAGTATTTGAACAATATGGCTTCGGTTGATACTTCACAGTCCAGTTAACCCTCAAATTACTTAATTTGTTTGTTAATTTTTTGTATCATTCAGTACTGGTTGGGTCTACATATGATATCATACTGGATAATTTTTTTTTACCTGTTAAACATTTAGTGTAAAGAACTGACTAAATAATTTGGGAAAAATCACTATTTTCTAAGTGAAATACATAGGGGACAACAGTTATAATTAGTGGAATTAATTGCAATGTTGATGTTGTTTTTGTTTAAATTTTTGGTGATTTACATGTTATCAAGGAACTGACCTTGTAACCAACAAAGTCATGGATCCACAAACAACTTGGCACATAAATAGCTTAGAAAAATAAGTTTAAAAGCCAGTGACAGTACAGTATTAACCTTATCATTATGGGGTTTTCTGTGGTCAGGGGTCAAAAGACATGTCATCACATTTGTACACTTGCATTCAAAATTTTATTTAACTACTTTGTTATGAATGTATGTCAATAAGTTTGGGATCAGATTGTAGATTATAATTCAAATTTTAATATTATACATTAGTTATTTTCTTAATTTAAAAGTAAATATAAAAAAAATCCTAAATATCAATTTTTGTGTTTCGTGTGGTATGTTGAATGAAGCTTTGGTTCAAATTAGATGTTTGTGATGTCCATGTATAAAATCTATAGTTTCTAATGAATTAGGAACTCAAATTACCGAAACACTAGAATACAAAATAAGAACCTCCTATTTTTTCTATTTGCTGAGATATCACTATATTTAACAAATCAATCACAGTGGCTATCTCTTCCATTTTTGGAAATACTTGCTTACATACAACCACTTTGCTTGATCATGTGTTATATTATAACCAATAAAAAGCTTAGAATTTCCCCATGTGGTTTTCTCAGCCTCTTGAGGGTTGGAATTTCCCAAGATTATTTCTTTTGTCTCCAATCTCGGAAGGAAGGGGTATGTGAAAATATTGTTCAAAAAACAATATTTTTTAGACCCAAATACAGTTTAGTAAGCCTGATAAAGTGCAATTCTGCAATATTGGTAGAGTAGTTTATAATTTTTTGTTATTTCAAAATCCTATATAAAATCCTAAAAAAGTTATTTTGCTTTATATCATCCACATGTGAAATTTGGTAAGGCTTAGCATGCAAGGTACGGCAAGCAAGTACAAACTTCTTTACAACTGTAAGTAGTAGAGTTCATTGTTTTCTGTATTTTTTATTTATTGTTGTATGTTTTAAGAAAAATAACTGAAATTTAAGAATTTATTTGTAATAGTAATGATACATATATGTATGTAATGTATTATAACTGAAATGTGACTGTATTTTCAAAATACTGGTCCATTAGAAAAAGCCATGACAGGTCACTTTATAAAGGCCTATTTTATACTATTGGATACAGTAACATGAGTGCACATGCACTGCATCATTGCAACTTCTGTAATGTTAGTCAGACATGGCTGAAAGGTCAATAAAATAAAAATGATAAATATATATAGATGTATAATGTTATGAGATTTAAGCAAATTAGACTAAGCATTTGTGATTTTGTGTTATAATTTATAGTCATTCTGGAACAAAAAAGTGTAACTTGTATCTATTTCCTAAATTTTTATGGTGGTTACGAGGTTGGTCAAATCGACCAAACTGATACAGAGATACAATAGTGAAAATATAAGATTAAATATAGTTTTTTTTTTAAAAAGTTTCATAATTATCTGGAGGTTATTAGAAGGTTATAAAGATCTTGCATGTGAAATTTGACAATTTTTTGATGCATAAAAGTATTTTTAATCTTAAAATCAAAATTAATTTTCATGTTGGATAGTCTACATTTAAAAAGAAATCCAAAAGCAATTTATTACTTAAAAAGTCTTAAAACTGAATAAAAAGTATAATATTTTGTGTATGAAAGCCATGTAATGCTTACTGATAATCTGCAAAATTTCATGAAGATACTCCTACTGTATTAAAAGTTATAGTATGAAAACTATAAAAAAGCTCAAAATGGTCAGGAGGTCAGTTCCTGGGACAGGTAGTGAGAGAGTTAATTAGTGTGTGGAGAATAGACAACTATGTCTTGTTACACAAGCAGCAACTTGTCTATTCATGTGTTGGAGATAAAACAAAAACTTCTTGGTGTTTGGTCATTATTTATTAATTAAAATAATGTTTTAGGCCATGCTTTCCTTGGAACTACTACCACTGGTGATCATGCAGTGTTTGGAAATTGCAATTACACTGTACAAACATCTTCATCTTGACGGTCTTTCCACAGACCCTACTCTGTAGGATGTCAACTTCCAAAATTGCATTTAAGCAAACCATGTGCAATGTTGCCCAAGGCTTCATGGTCAGCTAACTTCATAGGTATATCAGAGGTTGTTGAGTGATCACTGGTTTTACTCTTTGTCTTATAGAAACACTATATTTGAATCAATGTAGATAAGTAAAATTATAAGGTCAGTAAAATAGAAATAGTGCTACTCTTCAAGTTTCTTTACTTGTATATTGTGCTCATTTTATCCCACAACTGTTAAAACCATAAAAATGATTAAATGATTGTTGGTAATCTTGACCAACTAACCCATAAAAATATAATTTCATATAATGTGTACAATAAGGGTTCACATTAATTCGTTGAAAGAGTTATTGTTATAGCATTCTGAAGACCCTCAGATACAGAAGCTGATGTTATGAGACTCTGTTTATTGTGCTGTTTGAGTTTCAGGAACTACATTACTGATGCTATGTGTACCCAATGTCCTACTACATTTGAACCCACACGACACAGGCCATACCAGGCTAGTATGTGCCTGTTACTCTCTCATACTTAGTTCACAGAGAGAGTGCACCTTACTTGAAATTTGATAGAATGAACCTTTCTGTGAAAAAAAAGTCTGTTTAATTGCTGATCCACATATCATACAGTGCATTTTTGATAGATATTTATGTATGTTTGATACAGACTTCTACAATATTGGTGACTGCAGACATTCTTCATATGACTGTAGAAAGTGCATAACTACATCACCTGCTTTAATCTTTGTTTTCTACAGTGACATTTTTTCCCTCTAAACCTTAAAAACCTACAGTCTGTTGGAGCATATTGCAATGATTCACTAGTTTGAGGATGTATTGTGCAACAGCAGAATGGGCAGGCTGATAAGAGTTGCAAAGAGCACTAAAAGTTCTCACATAATTCTGTATGAAAAGAATGAGGAGGTTGGTAAATACCAAGTCCAGTAGCTTCCAATGTTTTTTTATGCAACAATGTATTGTTTCTATGATCCAAAGAGTGTTTGTGACCAGCTTTGAAAATGCTGGTTAAATCCCTTTTGTAAATGCAATAGCATTAGGTTTTTCACACCCAGTTCACAAAGAAGCTCAAATGCTTACCTAAAATTCTCTATTCACAACAGCCATATCATGTTATCATGTTGTTGTTTTTAGGTGTGAATATTTTCATTATCATTTCAGAATGAGTGAATAATAATTTCTGCATCACTACTTCACCCATTAGCAAGATGTGGACCAAGAACCAACATAATGTACCCAACAATGGATTACAACCAAAATTGGTTTGACAAATGGCTACTGACTGTAACTTTTCAGCTGGAATGCATACATGATATTTTTACACACACACATGTCATCATTATTGCTTTCTCTGCAAGATGATGGGAATGGTTAAATGTGAACTCTTGATGGCTGATGTGTCCAAATTTTAGGTGTAGAGGAACAAAATAACTTACGAAAAAGCAATATTTACTTGAGTGTGGTACTCTCTTAGCAGCAAAAGTATTTTCCAAACTCAGAACTATAGACAGAATTCTGTTGGATAATCAAGTAGTGAACTTAATGAGGAGAACCCCCAGATAAGTTTGCATATATCTTCATTGATTTTCCTGAATGTGGAAGACAGGTCACCCAATTGAAATTTGTTCAGTTCAGTGAAGTTGCAGTATTTATAGCAGTTAGCTAATAGAACCTATTAAAGTATATTCCACTTAATGTTTTTGCTGCTATATGCGAGTTCTACAAATGATCCTTTCAGTTACAACTGGTTTAGTTTTTCATCTTGCTGTCTATTACTTGGCATTACTTAGGTGCAAACTACTTTGTGGCTAAATGACTTTTCTAGCACTTGACTCCAACAGAAATGACAATAGAATGAATAAGAAATACTTTGGTTTATGCTTTAAGTGATATAGTAGTCATGTTTAGGGGCTTGAATATTCTGTTTCCATGAGAACACTTATCTGTGACCAGTAATTAAAAACAATCTTAAGCATTTATTAAAGAGTAAAAACACCAGAAACTTTAAGTTTGATTTTTTTTTACTCCTATGTAGGTGATGAATGAAAATAGAGATGGCCATTCTCCTTTTGCTACGTTTGGACAGTGGCTAAAACATACATTTGTCACCCAGGATCAATTTGCAAGTCAAATGTCAGGTCTCACTGATCACATGACTTCTGAGTTGAGCATTAAAATGAAACAACACATAGAAGAGATAGCCCAGACAGCAGCATCAGCCATTGCACTTAGTTCAGCCCAGTCCCTGAGGGAGGAACTTCAAAATGAAAGGGCATCATCCACTTCAGCTGTGTTTTCCATCTCTGCAAATGATAGTAAGATGTGTGCTTCCCAGGAGGATGTGAAGAAAATAGTACGAGATGCCATATATCTGTATGATGCAGACAAGACTGGGCTAGTGGACTATGCCCTAGAATCTCAGGGTGTGTCTTATTATTAAACAAACTCAAATGGAAAATGATATAATTAAGAGAAACATTACACAGTGTAACAGATATAACAGTCTTAAAATGCATTAGGGTAACAAATTTCCAATGACATTTAAAACATGTTTAATATATATTCCTTGACTTGTAAAACAAAATTATATACAGCTATCTACTTACATTTAAAACATACATTATGAGAGAGATTGATTGAGGTTAAAATGATACAGTGTAGTAGGTATTGAGTGACGTATAGGACATAATTAAACTTATAAAAGACAGAATGTGACAGAAACAAAGTTACATTTAAAATGAATGTACTGCTGACTAGATTTTCAAATCATGCAAGAATTGTGTAAATGTAATGTAAGTCTGGCCAAGTAACCATCTGCTACAATCAAACCATTTTAAAAGAAACTTGAATTTTACTAACGTTTAATTTTAAGAAAATGTAGAAATAATCAATATATCTCTAAAATGTAAATATACTGAGGAAAAGTTCTACAGACTTGCATTGCAATGTAATTCTAGGTAACAGCATGGAACCAATATAGCGGTTTGTAGTTTGAGTAAATAATGTTTACAGTATCTCAAGCCTTGTGTTTTTACTATTTTTGTGATCCCTATTTGCAGGTTTTTAAATTTATAATTTTTTATTTATCTGGTAAAAATTTGGACAATAAACAAAATTGTTTTCACCCTTCACATTTTTTCCTCCACAGTAAAGCCAATGCAAGATGTAAGTTAGGAATAAATTTAGTTTTTATAATTCACTTAACCTGCTGTTAAAAAAAAAGTTGTATCAATATGACTTTTCAAAATTCTACATTCGTGACAATACATATGCATTTTATGAATATTGCTGGGCATTTAAGGGCAGCTATGGTTACTTGGTTATCAAACTGTCATTTTTAATTTGATCTACATCCTTCTCTCTAGAACACATCCCAAAATCTCTCTCTCTCTCCTTAATTTGTACTTACAGGGTCTAAAACTAAAACATTCATTTCTGACAGTTTTCAGGAAGGGGAAAAATTATTATTACAATTGCTTTTTTTTATTTATTGCTTATTTATTTAAAAAAATTTCTCTTTTTTTTGCATTTAATATGTTCTTTGATCTAATTATGAAGGTACATTGTGGTAAAAATACTAGTTTCTTTTGTAAGATAATTTTAAATTCTAAGGAGAGCTTCTAGATTTCATTTTACAGCACTTTTGTTTTTGTGTCTTCTGTAGCCATCCCTGCTAATTCTTTTGCTGTCATAGGTGCAACTCATTTTCTGGTGCAGCACCAACTTATGGAGCAACTCCGTGCCTCTACGAATAGTATAGTTTTAAAATAAGTAAAAAGTGTGGTTTAAAAATATTCACATGATTTTTAATTGTATAAAGATTTCAATTATGTTTTACTGCATTGGTATAAAATAAAGAACCCAATATTGTAAAAATATTATTAAGTTGCAGTTCAAATTTTCCAGAAAAGAAAACTATACAAGAAAGGAAAAATTGACAATTTATTACATTAATGTTACTTTTATGACTGTTAATAGAACAAAAACTTTTAAAGCATATATATATATATATATATATATAAGCTTATTCATGAATCAAACTGCCTTTGCTGCAACTTGCCAAACTACAGTATGATGCACATTTGTGATAGACGACTAAACCAGTTATTTCTGAAGTGTAGTAATAGGAAAATTAAACTGAATTATTATTATTGTGAAGTTTGATAAGAATGGAAATGATAATGATATGAAATATAGGAATTTAGATGTAACCTTTTGTTTCTGATACTAGGTGGCATTATTGTCAGTACAAGATGTTCTGAAACATACCAGATGGGAATTGGACAGTACAGAATATTTGGTATTCCTATCTGGCACTCTTACAACTCACCACGAATTGTTATTCAGGTAAGTAATGCTGTTTTATACCATTTTATACAGTATCTAATCACATTAGTAAAATACATAAAATCCTAGAAGTAGATAAATTATGAAAGAAAGGCAAGAACTTTTGAGCAACTTTGAAAAGTATAATTTCTCTCATTAGGGATGAGCTTTGGAAAAGTTTTTAGTGTAAACTTTATTTCATTCGTTTTAGAAGCTATTAATATTGCTTGTGTTTTTTCTAGTTTTAGCATCATTATTATTCATTCTCTCTTATTTCTTGCAAAATATTTTACAAATTTACAGAGAAGTATAACTAAACTTAGTAATTATATTTGATATTTAATAACTTTTGGTACTTTGTGTGGGAGATTTTTGTGACCAATAATGCATTTTTATAACCAAGAGATTTTGTTTTCATATTCCAAAGACAGTCATTTACAGCTTAAGGAAGAGAATAATACTTAAGTTAGGGTAGGTTCTTAAATTTTGTGAGCAAGGATATTTTATGTTGAAGTAACCTGCAATATTAGTAATATAAAAAAAAACATGAAAGAAAAAATAAAGTAGAGGTTTAACCAAATAAATTGATAATAATAATGGTAAGTTGCTATTTTATTTTATAATTTTCTGTTTATTTTTGTAGACTTCTTTTGATGTTTGCTGAATTTATATAATGTAGAATTTTGTTTTTAAATCTTTACTAGCCAGGTATTCATCCTGGTGAGTGCTGGGCATTTAAGGGAAGCTATGGTTACTTGGTTATCAAACTGTCATCTTTTATTCGGCCTACAGCCTTCTCTCTAGAACACATCCCAAAATCTCTCTCTCCTAAAGGGAGCATTGATAGTGCTCCAAAGGACTTTTCTGTATGGGTAGGTTGGAATTGTATTGCTCAAATTTAATGCTTGAATTTAAAAACCTGATTTTTAGTACTTTAGAATGCTTGAAGTTTATGGAAAAATTAAATGACTTGTGAAATAGTTAAAAAGTACACTAATGCTATTTGCTCCCAATTATATGGGACCAAAAAGTTCCGCAGGTGTTAGCTGTTCAAACAAGGAATAGTAATAACACCTTTATGGGATCTGGCAATTATGTTTTCTACTAAATTATGTTGGAGAAATATAGTTACCAGTGAAGTTATTGATACACTTTACTTTACTTATTTTCCATGTTGTTTATTGTTACATGAAATTTGTATTACAGCAACTTCTAGTTAGCTTGGAGGCCAGTGAGGAAAAAACAAAATTGATGATGATGCTTGATTTTTGCTGAAATTGGCTTTTGAAAATGCTTGAATATATTGTCAAAATGTTTCTCTAACCATATAAACAATTAGTACACAGGTTTAAAAGTAAGATTTTTAACTTTATTGGTATGTAAGATACTGTACATTTAGTTTAGTGAAGTCCTTTAGTTACTGTAGTGGACAAAATAATTAAAAATTGAATTGTTTCACATACAGTTTTTATACATTTGTACAATATGAGTCACTACATGCAGAAATAAGACTTGTAAAATTAATTTTCAGAGATGATAACTCACAGAAATACTATTTCCCTCACACATTTGCCTATAAGATTTGCATGACACTAGCTTTCAGCTAACTCCCACCTAAATTAATGTGTTTAATTTGAACTGCACTAGTGAATGATAATATCAGTATTTCACTCTGGTTTCCAGTTTTTGTGTCTTCATCCTTTTCTCACCACTCTCCTATATTTCCTCTTCTCCTCCTGCCTTTTGTCTGAGGCACTTTATTATGCTCCAGAAAGGTTTTCTGAACAGGTTTTTTCCTTCTCTTTGCCAGCTTATCTAGTTTCCCTTCTGCTCTGTTCCTCCTTCCTTAGTTCATCTGACTTGTTCAGTCGAGTTGCATTCCTCTTTAGTGTTCACCTTCTTCTTTCTTGTGTATGTTGTCTTTATCAGGCTCCCTTATTTCTCCCAAAAGTCTTCATTGGCCTTCATTTCTCACTGGAGAACTGGACTGCAGTTATATGACTTCAGTCCTCTTTATCTTCCCAGGTCCTTATTATTTCTCGACCTTGCCCTTTGAATCCTATTTCTCATCTGGATCAGTCTATCTTTTCTATTCCAGGTTCCAGGCCTTCCTATTTTTCTCATCCTGCCACTATTTGATGTCTGGTTCATTGCTGTTCTTGTCTGTAGCTATCCTGTCATGTCAGGCCCTATGGGTACCTGTCTCTTCCTCTTTGCCAGCTGTTGATCTCAGTTTCTACCAACAGACGTTTTTTTATGTTCTCTCCTATAGTCTCTCTCCACTTCTCTTCTATTTCTATCTATGGTATTTTTGGTCTATGGTCTGTGGTTGGCCATGGTCAATGTGTCAGACACTTTCCTACACATTTCTATTGCTCTGTCCTTCAGGTTCCTTTCCTTTTGGTATCTCTGGCTTCCCTGAAACCCCTCATTCCTTTGTGGTGTACATACATGAACCCCCTCCAGTGGACCTTGCAGATCCAATGTGTAGTCTTCTTGTCACATTCCTATTGCTCTTACACTTTGTTTGCCTATCAACGAAAACAGTGGGCCTTTCATCATTAATCCATATGCCACTCCTTCTATCCTGGACATCCTCCTGTGAATCACCTTTCTGCCTTTTTTCATTCACTATTTGACCATGGTTTTTCAGTCTCCACCATCACTGGTTATCAGGAATTGTTGCTTACTATGTTTCACCTCTCCCTGTACCACAGAATATTTTCTTCCTGTCCTCTACCCTGTTCCACTCCTTCCTTCTTCCTTGTCCAATTCTCATGCCTGACTGGGTCCTTGATGTGGTTTTGTATGATCTCACATGTGCCCCATTTGAGCTGTTGGCTTCTTGCTCTTTGTACCACCTTTCTCTCATGACTTATTTTCTCCTCCATCTTGCCTGTGGTCACCGTCCTTTGGATGTTTCTACTATTGATGCTTCTTGCACCCTCTTCCACTGCATGTCTATAATCCTCTACCTGGACCAGTTTTTCCTTCCTCAGACTTCTGCTGTTCAGGATGGTAACTGTACTTTCTTTTCTATCTCTCACTTCTATGATTGTTCAAACCTGGTTTGACTCCTGTGTCCTGTTCTGGCTGTTCATTGTTATTTTTCACAGACATCTTTCCAGGGTCCCCACCATTGTCTATTCCTACCTTGGGACTCCTCTTCTTCCAGAGACCTCTCTCCTTCTATCCTTACTGGATGGGTCTGTCAACTTCTCTGGTTGATATATTCTTCCCATTTTCACTGGCTCTTGGACAAGATCTTCCAGATGGGCAAGTCGATGATTCCCCACATGTTCATTGCCCATTACCTTAACCACCTGGCTGTTTTGTCCCCTACAGGATTTTGACTTCCACCAGTCACCATACTTCAAGAAACCCACCAACTTTGAAATGGGTATGTTTTCCTTTTATTTCTCTCCCTTTTTGCTGAACCAGAGTATGCTTAATTCCCAAAATGTGCATCGAGCTGGGCTAATGGAAAGTGTTCGGCCCATCTGCCCTGGCTCTGCCAATGCTCACTGTAAGATGAGGTGTTCTGCAAGACTGCTTAGGATATCCTCTTGGCATACAAACTTACTCAATTATCTGATCCATACCATACCAGTCCAATGGGCTATCATAGAAAAAGCTGGCATCAAGAAAGTGATTGCCCACTTGTTTGGCTCTTGCTTTTCTGATTTTAAAAATAAAGTTTTGCTGTTACTCATTGCACTATCTCCAGTAAAAGATTTTACTGGCTGATAGTCCAATGTGGATCCAAGCACTTCTCTGGGTCTCACCAACTCAAATTCTCCCCTTCCTCAAATGGAGCATGGGAGATCCTTCCCATTACAAATTTCTAGCTGGTGGACCATGGAGAACCCTTACTTGTTAGGCTTAGCACAATAAAAAGAGAAGTAGGGTGGTGGTGACACTGTCAGTGTAGTATGGGTCACCATTGATACAGCTAATGTGTCCTCCTCCTTGTGCAGCCAGAGTCTATCTAGTAGAGTTAAGGTGAGTGCACACCATACATTCTGATCACGCTCTAACCACACTATAAATATTGGCTTGCTGACATCTTATGTACTAGTGCTCAGTTAAGTCATAATCACATTCTGCCTATTCTTGCAACACATCAGGGTCTTTTGTCTTTTTCCTCCCCCTGAGTGAAGAGAATACCTTGGTTGAAACAAGATGCAGTCTTCTACGGGTGTGTCCCTAAAGAGCTTTGGGTGTCACACTCCTTGGGTTATACCTTCACTTGCTTTCTGAAGGTAGAACTTGTATAGGTGTAACTTTTGCACCAGCCACTCCACTATTTCTGCATGGGATTCTAGCATTTCTGTGTGTGGTGGTGAGTTATCATCTGGGAAGTTAACGTTTTCCTAATCTGAAAATATATTTCCAATAGATACTCACCTCCTTACAAATTCCTACCTGTCCTTCCCACTTCAACTGCATTTTGTTTTTTCTTGCCTCCTCTAAAAAGGAGGTTATCACAAGTACAAGTGCATAGGGGTGTTTGTTACTGTGCATGGAGGCTGTGTTGCCCTCCTATTGCACCAGCATAATTCACAATAAAAAAACATGAATTTAGGTGGGAATTAGATCAAGGCTATTGTCATGCAAGTCTCAGATGCATGAGGGAAGTAGCATTTTTTGTGTGTGGAGGTGAGTAACTTTCATAAATATGTTTTCAGATTTAGAAAATAGTAACTTTTGTGGTCTGCAGAGAACATGTGGCATGTTCTTCTAATGCTGAAACTGTTGCTAGAAAGAACACTTATAGTCTTAAATATATATTGTGGTGTTTTGAACTTGGCAGTGTTTTGTAATTAATGACTTTCTACTTATCATAACTTAGTGAAATATCACCAGGTAATTTTATTTTCTGACCTATGAAATAATTACAAATATGCACATAAAAGTTTAAATTACTAATAGTTAATAATTGGATAGCAGCATCGGATGACAATCAAGTTTTACAGGATGTGTCCTACAGAAAACATTTGGTAATAGCCTATAATTTTAAACTGAAGATCAAATGTACATGATTTTGCTGCACTTTATATTTTTATTCATTTTATGGAAATGGTGTTGTGCTTTATTATTATTAAGAAAATTATCTCATATTTTAGGGATTGCAGAAAGAAACTGACCTGGAAGGTCAGTTGCTAGGAGACTACACCTATAATGAAGAAGGAGACCCCCTGCAGTATTTTGTTGTTAAGGTGAGGCAAATAATGATCTTTAATGGTCAGAGCTGATCTGTAAGTATAGATCTTCTTCAATGAGGATAACAAAAACCGTTTATTTAAATTGATAAGTTATTAGCCAAAAAATACACTAGAAAGTTTTTTATTCTTAATTGATACAGTTGTATTTAACAAACAATACAGTTTTATGAGTATATATATGTATGTATTTATGTGTGTGTGCATGTGTTTGGTTTTATTTATTTTGTAGTATAGTTTGTGTACCATATTTTAGTAGTAATATTTTAGATTATGTTATAGATGTACTAGAATATGACTGAATGAAGGAGAGTTAATGAACCATGTCATATTTTTGAGTTTACTCTGTTTCTAAGAAGAGCTTTTTTACTGACTGGTGGATAACTTCATTATGATTATACAATTTTGGTGACTGCTTAACACTTGTCATTAGATTACTGAATAATTTTTCTTAATAATAGTAAACTCTGATCAATATTTTTCAGTTTTTTTTACATTTTGATGTGTAGTTGTTTTGAAGAGGGGAGATTACAACTTCCACTACTACACTTGATGGTTTTAGAAACTGATCAGAAAGGTTTCTAATTTGCTTGGGCTTGAGACTACAACCCCTTTGATACATCTGGATATGACTCATTTTCAGTGGAACTTTACTTGACAATGAAAGATCTGATAATCTAGTATTACTGGAGGCTTAGGAGACCCTGAACTGCTGATGGGATTGAAACAATACTTCTCAGGATTTTCATTTGTTCACAAATGTTTTACCCCAGGCATGGGAGTTGTTTTGAGGAACTGTGTACTTTATGTTGTTTGGTTTCCAGTAAAGCTGGGGTATTACATAAATATTTTGGAAATATAGCAATTCATAATTCTTGCATAGACTTTTTAAATTTTTTATGGGACTTGGTAAGTTTGATACATTGAAACAGTTATCACTTGTACTGTAACAGTATGGCCAAAAAAATACTCCCTATTTCTGTGTATGGAAATAATGAATCAATCTTTTTTTAAGTGAGCTCTTTCACTGTCATTTTATGAGCTTTTCATGTTTCAGAAATAATGATTGTCCTGGTGAATCAAATTTCCTGCCCAAATGAAGTTATTGTCCATGGAACAGTTCCTTCATCCTTTGGCCTTCCAAAATTTGTCTGTGTTTCAGTAATCAGATAATTAATAACACTGTGTTTTTTGTAACCAAAATAATGCTGTTTTTCTGGTTTCTCATCCTGGTTTCAGCAGTCTTGGTGGGGAAGATTTCTTTAGGTTTATTCCCTTTTCAGGTTCTGGTGTAGGCCTTGGTTCATCCACTACAAGTTCTACAATTGAAACCTTTGTGTACTGTGGAAACACCTGTATCAACTCAGATCCTTAATTTTTTATTCATATATTTCCTTATTAAGTATTCATTATTGGCTTTTTTCCTATCCATTGAACAAAAAGCAAAATTTCTTTCATTCATATGGATGGACTTCTATTTATTTCACCATTTGTCAATCAGGGTAATTCTATCTGAGGTTCTATAGTCAACATGGGGTGGACCTTGTGTCATCTTTGATCCCCTACTTATGCAGATTTTTTTCTTCCTGGTTTTTAGCAAATGTATATTTAGTTCTATCTGCATATGTCTATGTTGCATTGGCAGTACATTGTTACTGTATTCCTCCTCTAGTGATTGTCTGTTGTAATTTTTCTTGATATTAAAAACTTACATTTATTTTTACTGTTGTGCCATTCCTATGTTCTTATGATTCCTGCTTGGAGAAACAGTAGTCTTTTGAAAAAGTATATGCCTAATACCTTGTACCTCAACAATAACTTTTTAGTGCTGGGTAGTTTGGTAATTTTTCTGTACTCTCCAAGACTCAAGTTTAAGGGTTAATAGTAATGGGCAGTTTTTGAACTAATTGTACTATTCTTGGGTGGTGCACATTCGGCTGTTTGATTATTTCGAGCTGGTGTGGCCTTTGGGCATATTTCTACATGAGTCTTCATAAGAGCCAGCAGTATGGTGAAGTGCTTGGTAGATCAAGTCTGTGGACACATGTCTGGCATTGGTACTTCAGTACAAAATGGCAGCCACTTGTTTCCACATTGCTGTGTACAGAGCCATTATTGTATTTTCTTCTGCAGGAGTGACAGGTACCTCTATTTCCTTTGGTCCTGTCTCCATTGAATATTGAGATTGCTAGCTCAGTGTAATATTTGAAATTAGTACTTTAGTAGTAGAATATGGTTTAAAGAAATGCATCTGTTACAATTGTACGTGGTCAATTTGGGAAATGTGTGACCATATAGAAGTGTGCTAGGTAGATGTTAAGTAGTGGTGGAACTAAGTGACAGAAACTGATTAACCCAGAACTTCTGTCTTTAGTGGGCAGTGTATATGATGATTATACAAGTTATGCTGTGTGAATGACTATTTATTGCAAAATGGTATAATAATGAGAGAGAGGAATAAAAAAAAAATTTAATTATTGGCACAACTAAGAGATTATATTGTTAACTATCTCAGAAATATATTTTACTACTAAAATATTAATTTCAAGTATATTGTTGTCTTTATTGTGTTTTTGAGACATTTTATAAATATATTAGTCAAGCATTAAAAAATTTATTTTCAACCCATTTCTTATTTTTAGGACCAAGATCCAGGTTACTTCTCATTGGTGGAACTGCGTATCCACAGCAACCAAGGAAACATGGAATACACCTGCCTATACCGTTTCAGAGTTCATGGTGTGCGTCAATAACATGCCATAACTAAGAATCTGAGAACACACTAAATCATAGTACAATTCTTGTTTTTGGACTAGTAACTGATGTTTCACTGTCAAGTGGACTTGTAACATATACAAATGAGATGTTTATATAAAATGTCTTTCTGTTATTATAAACTAGAAGTTATATAAACAAAAGGTATAATCCAAGGTTTTTTCTTTAGTAATGACAAACATGAATTATTACAATGCATAAAACTTGTATTTTTTTTTGGTGCAGTTGTTAATAGTAGAATTATTATTTAAAAAAAATTGATTTGAATTTAATAAAAGTGAGCATGTATGTAAATTATTTCTAAACATCAAAAGAAAAGATATCAAAGTTGTATTTTTTAACTTGACACAGAGTGGTTCTTACCTAATTGTTTATAGGCACTTGAGTTTGTAGCAAAATATTTTATCACAGTATGTGTTTATATTATTAATTTCTGTCAATTGATTACTACAGATGTTTAGCAAGTGAATGAAACTGTTTTATGAAGGTTTAATTTTATGAATACTTTTGTAGTATGGACTTTTATGTCTTACTAAACCTTTTGCCTTATTGAATATTTTTAAATTTCATTACAATGAAAACCAAAAAAAGTGGAAAATTTGAGGGTATGCTGTTTGAAAGATAAAAACAGAATATTATTGGTGCTTTTGTTAGTCTTTCATCTGAAGGATTCAAGAAATAATGAATGATAAAGTGCTGAAGAAAAGCACTATAATTTGTGTGATAAAAGTTGAAACATTTTACAGGTGTAATTTAATTTTTTTTATAGTATGATGTTTTATGTGTTGTACAAATGTTTGTAAAACGTGCTTTATGTATAACTAAAGATTAAGCTTTTAGAAAAAGATATTTTTTCAGTACTACCTCCCTTTATTTACACATATTGTATGATTTTAATGTCATCATAAACAAGTAGATTATGACACTCAAAGAACTAAATACTCCTGATATGGGCAGTCTTAACAATCAGTATTGAATTGTCTCCAAGTACACCTGAAAATATTAATTTCTTAAACAGACTTAAAATATGTCTGTGGTGTGGAAATGTTTTGTTTGCTGTGGTGCAGTGAATATTTTATGTCATCTTAAGTTTGTATTAAACTCAGTCTATATTTGTAAAGTTGAATATTATATGAGTCACAGATATTTTTTCATTTGCTGAGTAACTTATGTATTCGTATAGTTATTTAACATATTTCTAACATCTTTTCATTTGTGTAGTTAATTGCATATCAGAAGAATTACCTATTGTTCTGTGACATTTTTCATTATTTATGAAGTCAACTGTTTTAAATGATTTAGCTCTTGAAATATAATTACTAACCTCAATATAAAGGAACTATACAATAAAGGATTTTTTATATAGAGAATTAAAGGATTACCCTGTTGTAATTTATAGAAGTTTGAAGCAGAACAGCATTACAAGGAATAATTTTTAAACACTCCTTCACAATCCACATACAAAGGCAGAGTCTAAACATGTTTAAAATAAACTTTAATATTCTTTCAGTCCTGGTTGGTCCGGCATGGCCAGGTGGTTCGGGTACTTGACTCCCAATCTGAGGGTTGTGGGTTCAAATCCCCATCCCACCAAACATGCTCACCCTTTCAGCAGTGGGGGTGTTATAATGTGATGGTCAATCCCACTATTCATTGGTAAAAGAATAGTCCAAGAATTGGTGGTGGTGACTAGCTGCCTTCCCTCTAGTCTTTCACTGCTAAATTAGGGATGGCTAGTGCATATAGCCCTTGTGTAGCTTTGCGTGAAATTCAAAACTAAACAAACCTTCCAATCTAGTAGAAATCGTGTCAGCTGAACCCTTAGTAATATTCATTACACTACCATCATTTGTATGTAGGGCATACAAATGTGTATAATCAACCAAAGTAATAACCAATTTTTCTTTTGAGTAGCATTGGCTAAATATATAGAACTGACAAGCTTTTATAAGAACGACTGAAACAGCAAAGCAATTTCAAACTTACATTTGCATTTATATTCATTAACTTCTGAAAAGTTGACTGACTTCACTGAATTCAATAGTATAATCACATTTCTTATTTTAAACCTACCTGGAACTACTTCTCACCTAAAAAACATGAGTTGTGAACTGAATAATGACATCATTATGACTCCAAGTGATTAGAGCACTTGACTCGCAGTCTGAGGGTCTTTGGGTGCATTATAATGTTACAGTCAATCCCACTATTCATTGGTAAAAGAGTAGCCCAAGAGTTGGTGGTGTGTGGTGATGACTAGCTGCCTATTTTCTCTTTTCCCCTTGCCTTTTGATTCCTCCTCTGCTTTACTACACAAAATCTATACTCAAGATTACTTTGTCGTTCCTCCTTTGCCTGGTATTAGGATGCATGTTGGTTTGTTTCCCAAACAGTTGCACATTCATATTCCTTGTCCTTATTGCCTTCTTGGCTCTTCTGTCATGGCTTACAGCCATTCTTTATTTCTGTTCCTTGATTCCTAATCATTGGAATTTCTTTTACCTGCTTGGGAAAATATCCCCTAATTTCTAATTTTCTTTCTAGTGCCTAATTTTCACGCCTTCATCTCTTTCTTACCAATCTGTTGCATTACTTCTCGTCATTTACAATATTTCTGAGGCACTTTACCATGCTTCAGAAGGGTTTTCTGGAGAGTTTTCTTTTCTTCTTTTCATCACTTTAGCTTGTACTACTACTGCTCTATCCATCCTTACTTGGTTCATTTGCTGTTGGGATAGGATGCTCTGCTCTCCTAACTAATGTTTGCCTATCTTACTTTTATTTCTGCGATCTTTATCGGATTCATTTTCTTTGCCTAGAGGTGTTCCTGACTCACTAAAGACCTTGGCCGAGGTGACATGACATCAGTCCTCATTTTCTATTTTGGTTTCTTAACTTGGCCCTCTGTTCCTTTTGCTTAGGCCTGCCAAATCTACGTCTCCTTTTCTCATTCCAGTTTCCTGATCTTTTTCCCCGCCCTTCTACGATGTTAAGGTCGTTGCTTTTTTGTCTGTGACTACCCTGTTAGGTCTGGTTCAATGGGAGCTCATCTCTCTTTTTAGAAATGCTTAAGTGTACAGCATCAGCCTGTGATGCAATAATTATTAGACTATAGCCCCCCCCCCCCACACCAGTAGGAGGCAACAGATCCTCCATGAATAGTAAACATTTCAACTAAAATTAATTTTTCCCTTGCGCTGCTTTGTTCAGATGTTTTTTTCGTTAATAATTATGGTATTTTTGTTCTTATTATTTTAAACTTTCATTACCTTGATTTTCTTGATTGTGAGAAAAACAGATACAAAACTTAAAAACATTTTATTTAGAACTTTGATTAGAATTGTATTAATTTGATTTTTTTCTTTAATTCACATTACATTCTTTGACAGTGCTGAAGCATTTCAGACATATTATCGAAGTTACAAATGCTTCCAGGGGAGAAACTGAATTGTCTATGTATGTCAGTAGCAGCAAGGATATGCACATTTATTAACGAACGTATAATAGAAACTTCATAAAGACGATTGTCAAAATAAAGAAATGGTCGTATGCAAGTGACTGAGATGCGTCGTGGAATCGCGACATCATACAGTTCATCTGAACTATAAACAGATGCTATCATAGCAGAGGGGAAGCTATAGAAAAGTTTGGGTTAAATTTGTTAACTATGGAAATGAATTGGTAAACAGAAAGGAGGGGTACATGCAAATAGGCAGCTATTTAATAAATTCTGACCATATCCAATTAGTGTCCAGTTTGGTTCAAAGAGTCAGCAGTGATTCAGCAAAATTAAGCCAATTTGATGAAGGGCCTACTTGTGGACTGGACTTGCAATGCTACTTAATAAATAAACATTAACACAGGAAATTATGTATAAAATGTAATGTTTTCGGGCCCAAAGTTGTTCTTGAGGTCAGAAAACCTATACCAGTTCTTTCCAGCGTTTCACGAGGTCAAATAACCTGTATCAGTTTTCCAAGCATTTTCCTGTGCTCAAACGAACCTGCACTAGTTCTTTCAAAAGAAACCAAAAGCCAGATTAGTGTAGTGAAGAAGATGGCAGTTGTACTACTGCTCTTTCATTTTCAGCAGGCACGTTCCTTGTAAGTTTCAATTGACATACTCTCTAGTCTAACAACATATAGTATATTATGTTTCAAGTAAGATTTCTAAATAAAACTGAGGTATGCTTGAATATAATAGTTTAGTGGATAATTTGTTCCATATAGTATCAGAATTAATGAATCTGATAGAAGGTTTACTTAATGAACAATTACATGAGCAAAATGAAGGATTTGACATGTTTTATGCAGAACTGTTCCAAGACAATTTTGGTACTTTAGATGGCAATGAATATTTAGATATTTTGGATATAGATGTAGAATTAAGTATTGTGTATTGATTGTATCATCAGTTTGTGAGTCGATTCTTTGTTTCACACATAAATTCCTCGAGTTGATGGGCTGTATGCTTACTTAGCTACACACATGAATGTCTTCCTGGAATTTAAATAATTTGTGACTCATAAAAAGTTGAACACAAATGACTAGCCTTCCCTGGCTCACCTGTTACAATACTATTCCCCATTACTGTTAACCCAGTAAATAGGTTTTGTTAATTACTCTCCAGTTACATTATTATGACAATGACCAAGGCCTACCAGACTCATTTTAACATAATAAAAACTGAATGGATTTGTGATATGTCTACATTATGAATTCATGTTACTTCATCTGAGCTTGCCCCATGTGATGATGCAACTGTTTTCACCTACCTTTGCTTATAGTTTTCTCCTGACAAGGATTAGGTAATTTAACTTTTCACCGTGTTGATTACACAGATATTTGAGGCTTATTTTTATTTTTCTCCAATTGCTTTTTGCTGGATCTTTCCTCTTTGTCTTGTGTTCGACTTTCTCTCGGGTACTGTCCCGAAGTTTCTGCAGAGATGTCACTTTGAGACTTTAAGAAGCTTGATATCTTGCTTGCTCATTTTCCCTTGAGCTCTTATGATGATTGCAGATGCTTCATTCATCTCCTTTCTATCTGGCTTCTCCAAATTCCCACTACCTGGTGTTTCCAATCACAAAGTTGGATATTGGTTGCTTGATACACATAGCTTCAAGGTCTCCTACATAATATGGAATATCCACCTTTATTTTTGTTTTAGAAAACTTTTATATTGTCCCATCAATTAGTACACACAGGCATATCTTGCCTGTCATCTGGTTGTCATATATTAAACTGTTTCTCACTGCTGGGCTACTGCACCCAGTGTCTCGTAGAGCCTTTACTTTCTTGTCCCTGACGTATCCTTCACCTACTGGCATGTTGTGATTTGGTATCACCTCTCGATGTTTGTCACATGCTCCAATCACTACTGGCACTGTTGATCCATTTGCTAACTTCAGCCGCCCATTAGTCATGCACTTATCAATCATGGAAATGACATTTCCTTCTTGTGGTGAATCTGACAGGTTTCCTTGATTCTGTTTCTCTTGACAGTAGCATCTATTGTGACACTCTTGATAAAAGAGTTAGCACAAAGGATCACATATAAAGTGTTATAAACTTAAA